TTACCTTAAGAAACACTTCATCTTCTGGAGAGATCTTCTCGTATCAAAAGTAAAAAAACAAATACACTTTAAGATAACATCGTCGTCATCATCACCACAAAGAAGAAAACCAGCTTTCATCATGGCCCTGAAGAGAAAACCGGGTAAGCCATGATGAAAGGAAAAACAATATTTCTACCATCGGAATTAGGCCTCGAGGACATTTTGAAGGAGCAGAGGAGAAGGCTTTCTGAAATGATAATATTATTGCAGAATGTTTCGAAATATAAAGCGTATGATTAACTCTTCTAAAAAAAATACTTTTGATTTTTGCCCAAACCGGAAAATTCTTCGCTACATGAAAAACCAAAAACATATTTTCCTAAACCAAACGATGTTAGGATAAAACCCTTTTGATTTTCACCAAAGCTAGAAAATCCTTCGACTCTCCCTAAAGAACGCTTTTTAGTTTTTTTTGGTCAAATAGAAAACCCCTTTTTGTTTTTAAATACGCCTTTTTCGGTTTAGGAAAAATTTTCTAGTGAATGTTTGGTTATTAAACCCTTTTGGATTTTGTAAAGTAGATACTAAACCATTTTGGGTTTAGAACTGTTCTTTCTAAACCCTTTCAGTTTTTCAAAGTATGCTTTTGTTTTAGAGAGTAGTTATATAACAATCATTTTTGTTGCAACAACAATTCTTTTACTCTGGTCATGTGGCATATGGCCCGTAGAAAATGGTAAACATAAATTTTGCACGGGTTACAGACGAATGCACGAAAAATGACAATAAGTGACTAATGGACTAAACGAGATTTAAACGTCAAAAATATAAAATAACTTCTAGGGAATAAAATCAGATCTGAACTCGTTTTTAATTTCTTTTGAATGTGCATTGCGCCACTCTTAAGCTGTTTTTATACATTCACAAGAATCTGTGAAAGTAAAAAATTGTTCGGTTATCGGTTAAAATCGGTTTCGAATAACCGATTAAAAACCGAAGCCGGTGCATGCCTATCCAGATTTGATTAAAGCAATAGCTCTGAGAAACCGTACATTACCTCGTAGCACATATCTCTCGATCTATTGTCAAGAGAAAGGCATTATGCAAAAGGGATCGACATCTTGATTCGTTTATAATATTAGACAGCCGCTGTTTCGGATACAGTTTTTTTTCTTTCTTCGTTCTAGTTTTAACAATGGTACATTATCTGATAAAGTGTAACATTGTTGCAAAAGCATTATCTTGTTTTGAAAACTATTAATTATGAATTCAAATAAATGAATAACAGCTAAACCATTCGGGTGATTCACTTTTTCATCAATAATATCAATAAAAACTATTAGTTTTCCATTGACGTGTCACGAACATACGCTTGTACTTGATGACTGTTTACACGTGTATCAGCATGAAGTGGATACTGCGCTTATTACTAAGTAGAAAAAAATGCTTTTTCCACTTAGTATAAACACATTCATGATAAATATGATAATGATTTCAATTATAATGATATAAACTCGAATCGAATGCTTACTAAAGGCATCAATTGATTTTTAAAATGTATTATAAGGCAATACGAGCCTTTATTTATACAATGAAATATTACGTACAAAGTTCTATCAATAATAATTTTTTGTTTGAAAACTAACAAACTATAAGAGTGACAAAGCTGATCCATTTAAGGTTTGAATGTACTTGTAGAAGATAAAAAGAACAAACATTTGATGAGAGACTATTACTGGATCAATATCAACGAATGTTTTCAACGAATTATAAAATAAATGCTCTGAAAATTCATATCAACTATCATTACACCTTCTCTTATTAGTTTATATTCCATCAGCAAAATATTAGTAAACTTATAGAGCACAGACGAAAACTTAAACTTCTTTTTTCTTAACATTAGATCTACCAAATCTTTAATTCGCGAATTTCCTTACTATGTATCCATGAATCATAATCATAATAAAACAACAACGATATTTTACTGTCTTGATGAGAAAGATATGCAATATGCTCGATGTGTGATGATACCATTACACAGAACTTCAAAAATACTCAGTTTTATAGTTAATATGTAAAATTAAAAACAAGATTTGTCTTTCTAAAATTCATTTCCCAGAAAAAAACTGTCTGTCCAAATTTTGTGAAGTTGCAGCTTCTAATATTACATGAATGTTTTGGCACTACAAGTGTCCCAAGTCCACTTTCTTCTCGCATGTCGTGACGCGAGTCTCTTTAAAAATTCGCATCAGGATCGCGTAATGCGTTCGCTGTAAGACTCTCGAAATAAGGCGCGATTTTTTCGCGCTCATACAAAAGTCGATGACTCTTAAGTATTTTACTATAGCTGCTGTTTATTCGCGTTTCACCCTCACCTCTGCAACCGCTCGTTGGCCTAAAAGTTTTTACGAATAAATCTTTAATCTTTTCAGTCTGAATTTCAGTTAAGCATCCTCAAGTTTGAGGCGCACTTGTGTCACTATAATCGATTCACGGAAAAAGGAAACAACGTGTGTGGACTCATGTTTAACATGAGTCCACACACGTTGTTTCCTTTTAACTCCAAGGAGAGCTACCATCTACGTCAGCTCACATTACTCCTGACTCACTATTTGGAGCTAAAAGGAAACTGTAATATGTGGCACTTATTGGTCGAAATTTCGAGCAATCAAAATCTTATTGATATCTCCGGCAAAAAGTATTTTCTTCTTAAATTCGTAATATAAAGCAAATTATAGTTAGTTTTAGAACAAGTAGATCGTTAAATAAAAATCACAATAGCATGAGTATGAGAACGACCTGTACTGATCTTGAACGTAAATTTCAGCTGAAAATTCCTTCTTGTGCCATTCCGACACATTTTTCCATCGGTGACTAGCTTTTTCAAATGGTTCATTAGACGTCAATTCACAGCTATTCTCGATGGTTAATGAGTAACAAGCTGCTGTTGTAATATTGAAATTGTTTAGTAAATAGTTGACAACGATATTTTATCTTCGCTGTCTGAATACTTTTTTTGTAAAGCTGGAGCCTGAAAAGCAGCTACAGAAACACGTTAAACTGTTAACGACATTTGGTGAATAATTAAAAGGTTGAGATTTGTGATGAATAATCCAAAACTATTTGTAATATTATCTGTGAAAATGATTTTTATCGCTCAATAATAGCTAGTAGATGTACGTTTTTCTCCTGTTGCTGATACTTTAATGAACTTTCTACTTATTTGAATGACATGAACTTTTCTGGTTGATTCTTGATAGATTGAAAGTAAGATTCTGTTTAACTTAGGTTGTTATTTGCTTATTTTTTTACAAGAGCTGAGCTTTCTAGATATTTTGCACATTTTTGTTGTTGTTGATTATTTTCGAAAGATTGTTTGTTAATTCATTTCTTTGTTTGTTAATCAGTTAAAAAAAAGAGTATTTTAGTGCGTTAGGATATTGCTGTAACATACGCTTTTTTATGTTCGTATATGCGAATAATTATTTCTCAGAGAATATATATCTTTTAAACAAGTTGTTCTCTGGCTCTATTTTCTGTTACTTCGCCGTTTGACACATATTTCTATGGTATCTTTACGGTTCTCAAATTCAATGGATATAGTGTCACGTAGCGGAAATAGAAGCAAGCACGTTACATGCATAATCTAATGTAAACAACATATGACAAAGATAGTACAAGACTGCCTACGCGTATATTCATAGGTAGGGTTTCCCGTCTGACGACAGAAGGGAGATGTCAAAAACGTTATCAACGTCGCTACAGAATACCGTCAAGTTACTTTGTCATATTCAAACGTATTCTCGTTATATTCAAGTTGTATTTCTATATCATTTTAGATGTTTGAAAAAATCTTTTGATATTATTATTCCTTCTGAAAGAGTTAAACGTGCTCAAATATGGGACGACGAAGTATAAATACCACGAAAAGTGGGAAATTCATGAATCCCACTGATCAAGCTCGTAAGTAGCGATTATCAATTTTGACAACAACCATTTAATATATTTTCTTGATACAGGAAAAGAAGCACGTAAACGTGAACTTAAAAAGAATAAAAAACAACGTATGCTTGTACGTCAAGCGGTATTGAAAGGAAAAGATCCAAAGCATTTGATACAAGAAATGGAACATATTGATCGAATGGGTAAGAATAGTGTGTTTTTTTCTAATTCTATGAAACATATTCCGTTTCTATTTAGAATATGATCCTGTCAATCCTCCACCATATAATATCAAAGTGTTACAGGAAAAACGTAAAAAAATTCGTGATACATGGGATCGTGTATTAAGATTATATGTAAGTAGCACTAACACAAATTTATTTTTAACAATAAATTAAATCTAAGCATTTTTATCATTCAAGTCGAAAGAAGAGCCACATCAAGCTACTCAAATGGTTTCAATGCAAGCCGAGTATGAGAAAACACGCGCACAACTAATATCATGGTTTGGTGAGTGTGTCTAACTAAAATTGACCCATATTACTTTATTAAATTTGTTGATCGTTTTAGAATCTGTGAAAGAAACACAACGTGTTCTTGTTGATGAAATACCGTTGCCCGAGCTTCCAGCAGATTCGAGTAAGTTTCATTTCGCTTTTCTCCTCTTCTCGTTTAAAGGTATTTCCTACATTTTAGCAAGTAATATCCCAATGCCTGGAGAAATTCCATTACCGAATCAATTCGATAACCAACAACAACCACCACGAAGTATTTTAAAGCACAAACAATCTGAGTATGTTTATTCATATATTAGTATATTTCACCTCATATTGTTATATTCATTGTTCTAGCACTACTGATCAACCACAACAAATTATCATCAATCGAAAGCCTCCTGGTCCTCCCCCAGGCATACCACCACTTCTGAGTGATAATGAAGACGATGATGATATTGAAAGTATGTTTACGTCGAACATTTAGTTATTTTTATTCGAGTGTAAAGGGGTGATAGTTATGTCTTAACAGATAAAAATACAAACAGTTTAAGATTAATGTGTTTGTTTATCTCGAATGCTCCATTTTTTAATTCTGTTTTTTTTAAAGATAATGAAGCATTAACAAATTCGTCAACATCGAATGGTAAAATATTTTGTAGACGTTCTGTCTTGATTCTGATGAAATGATTTTATTTTTAAGAAAGAAGACGTATTCGATTTGTTGATCCACCACCAAGTAGTAAACGAAAAGAAAATGAAAGTGATGCATATGAATTGGAAAACTTAGAATTTCCTTCAATATCATCTTCAAGTCAACCTTACACTTCGGTCAGTGGCAGAGCATATATAGAGAATAGCTGTTTTATGAATGGTAGAACGATTTAAGGACATACATTCTCTTTTTTAGACCACAGCAAACACGTCGAAATTAGTGTTTCCAATACCACCGTTTCCTCCACCCCCAGGTGAACAAACGTACCAGTAAAACTTGATGTTTATAATAATCCATTTATTCTGTTACAGGAATGCGATTACCGCCACCACCGCCTCCTTATTTTCCTCCTGGACATGTACCCCCAGGTACGTAAGAGATTGAGAGGCGTTTTTTATAATCCCACTAACGATGTTTATTTTAAATTAAGGTATACGTTTGCCGACAAGACCATTTCCTCCAGGCATGCAACAGCCCCCTAAACTTGCTCGACAGCAGCATTCTTCTACTTCATCGTCATCAAATCAACCAAATGTGTTCAGTGCTCCGCCAAGTTTGATTAATAAACCAACTACCTCAACTTCGACGATATCAGCAGCAACTCCATCATCTACTAAAAATCATATGACCATTGAAGCAAAACCAGTTATCAGGTACCAATCAAGTTGTATTAATTATTTAATCTTATATAACAACATCTTTTCTTTTTAAGAGCTCGACAGGAAGTAACAAAGTTTGTTCCAACAGTGTTAAAAGTAAAACGACCTGGTAAGAAACAGGTTGATCCACCTAAAACGCCTTATGATAATTCAATGGTGATGAAAGCAAGAATGGCCAATGCAGCGATGGTTGGACATCTAACTATTGGATCAACAGATGATGCGTACGATACATTTATGAAAGAAATATCTCAACTAGGATAAGACTTCTTATGATACATGGCAATTTTTTTTATATGTGTTTGTTTTTGCTTTAAATTACTTTCTTTTTCTGGATATACATTTATTATTTCGTACATGTCGACTAATAAATGAAGAGTAAAGTTGATTATGTAAATAAAAGGAGAAATCATGTATTTCTATCATTGTATGAGAATAAATATTATCTTGGGATACAACACAGTCAATAGCTCTTCAATTCTTTTCGTTGTTCTTGATAAAGTAAAATCTCCGCTAGTCGATTCGTCTGTATCATTACTTCTCAGGCCAAAAAAGTTTAATAAATGCTCGACACATCATGATACGACCACTATAATACATTATGATTACTTCATACTAGATGATTTTCACTTATAAAGAAAAATACCACGCCTTGCGGCTACCGTTACCGATGTTGGGTGTTGCCGTGGCAGTTTCAATAGTTCGATATCTTCTCTGCAGTTGATTTAAACTATGTAAGTTAGTGAATATTTACTTTTTTTTTGAACGTGTAAATGTTTATGATACAATTTATTGCATTTAATCATTGTCACACTATATTGTGATTCCAAAAAAAAGAAGTCTTTGGTAATGTAATCAAATAGGAGATCAACTTACTAAACGATTTGGTGCTTGTTGATGGCATACCCTGGAGAAAATGCAAAAGCAATGGGCAGTTTTATTTTTAATTACTTTTAATCGATTGCTTCTTATAAAACAATAAAAGATGAATAGTTTTTGAACATATGGCCGATTTCTTTTTTATTTAGTTCCATATTCGTGAAAGTTTTCATATAACATTGTCTACATTAATAATCACTATCAGTTGAAACACATAAATACTCTGTTTTCAAAATATTACAAAATACATTAAATAAAGTTTTTTTAAATCATTTTTAATTTCATTTTAGTTTCTTATTTTCAATTCAACTGCATCTTCAATAGGTGTTGAAAGACGTCTCCGATACAATATTCACCTAGTATTAATCACTAAAATTTAGCTTGCAGTTTTCGTTTCATAATCGCAGTTTTTTCTTCTAACTAAATATTACTAGTCTGTCTTCTTCGTATGGGTGTATAACGAGCGTCGACATGTTTAAGTACTGCAACTTGTCTGTTAACTTTCATTCTTATTGTAGATTTAAAAAAGAAGTTCCTCACTGTGCAAAAGCTATCGGTTCAATATAAATTCCAGGTAGTGGTATCCAACATTATGTTTACACGCCATTTCATCTAGACATCTGTAAGCTGAAAACTAAAATAAGAAGGTACATAACTACGAGGAAAAACTATTTTATTAAATATTAATATGATAAATGATGGTGATGTCTGGAACAAGACATCTGCGCTCCTAGGTAAGTTCATGGAAAGAAACTAGGCCATGGTGACGTTTGAATCTTTATTAGTCAGCAGTGGCATAAAGATAAAGACTTTTAAAATCATCCTCGTTTGGAAAAATTTGATTTTCACCACTATCCATCCGTTGAAAGAATACGATTTCTCTTTTGTTTCTATAGTGAAATTATTTATTCGCGAAATACCTAAACTGACTTTCTTCCTGAACTATCACACGAACGGGGTTTCGCTGCAAGTACAGATGGCTATGTGGATGTATCTATACAGTGAGAGCTCGCGTTTCATGTTAAATTTAACAAGAATCTAATTAAATGTTTTATGTCGGCATAGGTGTCAGCTATAAATAAATTAAAAGTGGACACATTTTGAGAGAAGAAGAACATAACGGAAACTTTTCTTCCTACAAAGGAGAACGAAACAAAACACATTATTTGTCATTGTAATATTATTGAGAAAACTCAAAAGACACAAATATATCTTTTTTTCCTACTGTATATTTCTATTCATCGTTTTTCTTCTCCTACTACTATCGCAAAACGTCAAAATTTAACACAATTATCTTTGTTGCACAAAAAAACAATTCAAACATCATTTCTTAAAAACAATCTCAAAATGTGGAGCATTTAGCAACTCTTTTCATTGCAGAATGCTCTTCATTTCGTGGACACTTTAGAGAAACAAAAATGACATCGTTATCAACGTTAGAGACGGAACTGTGGCTCTGCGGTATAGATTAGGCACTTACTTTTTTAATTTATTTAGATTATTGTAGGTTGAAGAAACAAAAACATTTAAGACACTCATCGAAAACTATGCGTTTTATTTTGCATATATCAACAAGATGATGCAGAATCTCAGTCATTTTACGTTCAATCAGTCTGAAATTCTCTGAAAGTAGTTTCTTAACGCGACAAAGATATTGGTATTCTTAGAATATAAAAATGGCAAGAGAACTATAAAGCTTTCTCTAGAGAACTCGCTTAAAGTTTATAGTTTCAAAAATGTTTTTTGTTTTTCTAACTATGCAACACGGTAGAAAACATCAAATTAAACAAGTTCTGGAAGTTTTATTACTAGTTGACTACATGACACAAAGTTCTGAAGCATTTTAAACATGAGGCTAAATTTTACTCTCTTTTGCGGATTTCTGTCCTATGTAGCCGTGTGTTTCAAATGTTTTAGTCATGTAGTAACGAATAAGTGGAAACTCTCAAAAAACATGGCAAGAACTGAGCAAACACGTTCAACGTTAGGTAGACAGCAATCCCTGCTGATCATAGAAAACGTCATATTTATCGTTTCGATTTATTAACATTAATCGATACGAAATCATCAAACGCAAACAAATCAATTAGATACTGTATTCTGTGTAGTTTTCATTTTGATACTCTTATACCATAAGACTTTTAGGGAAAAAAACTTAAAAAAATGTATCGACTGCTTTGTCTATGTACCTTATGTACCACGACTATACATGCCATTCATCCTTCTTAAAACTTATTGTGTCAGGTTGGTGATGTAAACATTTCTCTTTCATACAAGACAAGAATCGGTTTGAGTGGTATTCTTTTTACACTTTCTAATTGTACCCGAAACATGCCAAATAAGTTTTAGCTTCGATCGATTGTGGCTATCTAGACCAGTTTTCTGGTGGAAACTTTATGAAGTAGAAAATCCATAGCGGAGCAACTCAACTCCGGAGTTGAGCGCTTTTTCTACGGAGTTGGAATTTGCTTTTTAAACGATCGGAGTTGAGTTGATGACAGATTTTGTCAACTCCAATTTCAGTTAAAAATTTCTTCAACTCCGACTACGTCAGCTCCTGTGGAGCGTGTTTTTTTCACAATCAGGTTTTTGGTTTCGATCACATTGCAGTAGTATGACAAAGAAAATGCTTTCAAAATTAATATTGTTAAAATATAATTTTGATTTATTATAATGATTTCTTTTGTGCATACTATTATAGAAGAAAACGTGACCGTTATACGGACGAAGTAAAAAGCAGGAAGGAAAAACAAGGAATAGATTTTAATTCGGATTAAACGGAGTTAGAGTTGGAGTTGTACCTAGCCGGAGTTGCTCAGCTGTGAACAAATCATTGTTTCCCACATCCACTAATGGAGAAAAGAAAATCAAACGCAGTCGAGCTATCTCTTTAAAAATCTTTCTTTTGTAAAGAATGTTTGTTCGCAGTATTCAATGTGCTTCTAATTTATGTTGATTTAGAATTAGTGGCTCAAGTGTCTTTGATATGATATTTTTCACTAACCTTCCGGTAGTGGCGTAAACAAGATTACTGAACTCTCAGATTTCTTTAGATTCAAATGACTAATTTCAAATTTTTTTGGAAGTCTTCATGGACTCCATTAGTAACTTTATTGGTGAGGAACAAAAAAAGAAGTTTCATCACTTTTATTGGAAGTGTTATACTTTTTAATTGAAATATTTAAACAATATGGAAAATAACAAGAGAGTAATACCATACGCTTATCTTATATTTCTATAACTATCATACAAAATGGTCTGTTTTTGAATGTTATTACGGAAAAGACTAGACTATTAGTATTTATTCAGACTGTTATCTGATAATGTATGTACATGCACGAAGCATAAGGTTGTAAGAAACCAGTTGTAAAAACTTAGAAACACAACATCAGAAGTCGTTTATGATAGAAAGATTTGAGATTTGAATAATATCAGAATCAGTTTGTTATAAAAATTACTTGTGTTTTATTTGAACATAAACAAAAAAAAACAAACAACTAACGTAAACAGTTAAGAAACATGTAACGATTGATTTTGTTGTATTTGTTGAATTACATTCCAAAGTTTTAGCGCTTTGCCAACTTTTAATGTTGATTTTTTAAATATAAATTCTCTATTTAATGAATAGAAACTATTTCCAGTGATACGATATTTCTTAAATATTTGAGATGCGTAATCGTAACCATTTAATTTAAAAAATTTGATTAGATCATCTGTTGACCATGAGTGTACATCGGGTATTTCACCATTTAACCCAAGTATTAATTCGATTGTAAGAACGGATGATGATGATAATTGTTGATAGGTGGATGTGGACGATGATTTAAGTACAGTATCTGAATGAGATGAGGATTGTGTTAATTTTTGTTTTTTAACTTTAGTATTTTTTTTACTATTTCGTGTTCGTTTTGTTGATATCATTGTCTGTAGTGAGGAAATAGGTGTAGAAGATGGTGGCACTGATGGCGGTAGTGGTAATAAAAATTTATCATCACTGTTAATTTTATTTTCTTTCATATTTGGTTTTTGTTCGATAACGATTAGATTTGATGTATGTGTATTTTCTTCATTTGAATTTAAAACAAGTTGTGTGGGGGTTATTGTTTGCATTAATATTTGTTGTTGTTGTGGTTGTTGATTTGTATTATCGATTAAATGTATGGATGATGGCAACGATATGACCGGTTTTTGAATATTACAATTATTCATACGTTCAATTAATTTTGCACATTTATCATTTTTAATTCGAATTGTAAAACCGCCTTTATGAAATATTTTTGTTACTAAACCTAGTTTTAATAGTTCATCAATGATCATTAATATATCATTTCTTAAATAATTATTATTACGTTTTGTTACATATTTAATAATACGATCTAAATCTGGACGACATTTACGTTTTTTTATTTCATCAATAGCTTCGAATACGGGTTTAAAACGTTGATCTGTTATTATATTTAGTAAATCACATGTAATAACTGTCGTGGATGTCGATGTTGGTAATGAATTATTTGACGATGATGATGATGATGAAGCAGAAGAAAAAGTTGAAGACGATGAAGAAGAATCAATTTGAAGATCACTACGAAGATCTTTAACGTCATTTTGATGTAATAGTTGTTGACGTTGTTGTTGTTGACTTACTAATTGTTTTAAAGTTTTTTTTCGAATGAATGAAGGCGATTGTGCTCGAGAATGTTTTGATTCTTGTTGTTGATTATTAAATAATGTGGTGGTTGTCGCTGTTAGAGTAGTTGTTGCAGGTTGAACAATATAATGTGACATTGAATAGATCATCATTTATCTAAAAATCAAAAATAGATATTGTCGTATCCAAGCATAAAATAATTTATTTCTTTTCTCTCTTCTTCGGATCAAATAATATATAATAAAAAATAAAATAAATAACTTGCCTACTATTTTCTAATTTTTTTTAAAAACAAAGTATGTATTAGACACAAGGAAATGTGTACTGTACGCGTCTATAATAAAAACCCTCGTTTGGTCTTTTTTTACATGAATTTTTTTTTTGTTGTTTTGTGTATGTGTGATGATGGTTGTTGTTTTCCTTTCTCTTTTTTTTTCATTTCTTCTTCTCTCTCATTTTTTTTCTTCTTTCTCTCCACACTATATGATCATTACACTTTTTCATGCAATGATGGATGATCACATTGAGTTTGTTGGTACAAAACTTTAGGAGAACGTATTTTATATATATATATCTATGGTAAGAATATAAAAAAAGGAGAGTAATGCACAATAACGCGAACGGGACAGAAGAAGCGAAAAACCGAGTATATATAATTATAAGTAGAGAAAGAGAGAAAGAGAGAGAGAGATAGAAGCGAGAAACAAGAGAAAACATATACATATATACATATACGTACGTATTCATCGACCGTGTACGTTCAATCTTATAAGAAGGAGAGTTCAGTTTTTTAGAGTATGAACATATCTTATTACCGGTGATAAAAAATAAAGAAAAAAATTCTCGTAAATCCTGATTGTTTTTACGAGGACAATATGAATGAACCATAAATAAAAAATAACAAAAAGAAAAATAATAATTTTTTCATTTTTAAAATAATCAATATTACCACCGTTGTTATACAGTTATTGAAATTTTCGAAAATTTGTTCGCTTTTCAAGGAAGAATGAGATCCTTGACTGTCTACCACTAATTAAAATACTCGATTATAACAAAAATAACGACCGATAGAGAAAGAGAAAAGAAACAAATAAATAAAAAGATATGTCTCTGACACATTTTTGTGTATTGAATAAAATACTAGGATACTGTTTAGTTTCCAGTAATATCAATAGTAAAGGTAAATTAAATCAGCACTAGTTTTTGCACAATGTTAAAATACCTTATTTGTAAATATCGTTAATTGTACATCGATCTTCAAACAAAACTATTGTTCCACATAAGATCAGAATGTTACCGTCTGATGTATTTGAATTTTCGATTCAATAGTAGATAAATTGTTAGACGGTTATAAAAAGTGAACTACACTAAAATAAAGTAAAATTGAGATGATATGGATGTTTCCGGATCCAAATCAAATGGAACGACTTTTCAACTAAATGAGTATGTTTAACATAAAGCGTTCAAGTTCAACTTGTTCACATACAAAAATGAGTAAGACTCATATTACATTAGCAGCATAAAGGCTCTGACTACTGTAAAAATTGAACCGGTGGTATTGTGTAATATTCTACATTTTTGTGTTTCACTATAACATTCACACTTCGAAAAAATCTCAAGCGTCGGTTCATATTCTTGCTTTGTTAAAAAGAACAAAACGAGAAAAATATGAAATAAACCAAAAATATTTAACAACTATTGGACAGTCTAATCTATAGAATGAAATTATGACACTTATTGTACTTTAACTACACATTAGTCATCGTTCTTCATATATGTCTTAAAATAAACATCTATAAACGCGAAATGAATCTCTCTCTTTCGGTTAGATATATATATATATATATATTATAGACTATCTATAGCACATACACATAGATACGCACATATACGGACATCGATTATTCGTCGTTGAATGGCTATGCGTAATATTTAATAATAGACTTGTAAAAGACAACAGCATAGGCAAAGAGATGTGATACTTCTCTATTATTCTCTCTTAGCGGGTATTTTTTATAGGGAGAGGGAGAGACGAGAAGAGAGGGTTTAGACTATATATATATATATGAAAAAAAACCGAGAAAAAAACGAGAGAAAAGTTTCACAGAAACAAATAAATCCAAAATTTTTGCTATAGTCTAATAGATACAACTTCGTTTTAATAATAAAACAATCACAAGTTCTATAATAATAAACTTCTAATAAATGAAAATTAACGGACGTTAACAAGTTGAAAAATTGCATTTAAAAGATATACATACATACATAGATATCATATAGTTATAAAAATAAAAGACCTATCAAACGAAACAAAAGAGCGCCTTACGTGTAAAATAAAAGAGGAAGAAGCAGAAGAAGAGAGGAAAGGTTTTTTTTTGTTAATAAATATAGGAATAAGAAAACACACAGCACTCACACGTGTGTAGATATTTATATGCTCTAAGTTAGTGAAAAAGAGATCACATCACCAAAAACCACCACAATCAAATAACGAAATAAAAGCGAAAACGTAATTTAGCAACGAAATTATCTTTCTCTCTCCCTCTCTCTCTCTCTCTCTCTCTCTCTCTCTGTCTATATATAATATATATATAGAGATATATGTCACCATCAGTGCATAATGATAATGACGATAATGAACCAAGTAAACTGAACTATATGGGCAAAACAGAAGAATAAACTTCGACGTGTAATAAATAAATAAATAACTTTTTTTATTCCAGCGATTATAATGCTCTGCACACCTTTACTAGTACCAGTTAACTGAATTATCTTGTTTTCACAAAAGAAATTTCATCTGTTGTCCTCTTTTTGAGAAAAGCTTTTGAGCAGATCCAATCTAAGCAATCAGCAGGGACTGTTGACACTTTCAAGAGAGAGAGACATAAATTCCAAAACGTCCAGAAAAGGAAAGTTAGTACTATGGTATTTCTTTAAATAAAAAGCAGTACGGTTTAATTACAAACGGACATAAAACCACGTCTCGATTATTAAATTCTCACCTCCTGGGTGAAATGTTAGACTTTACTAATTTTTCTCAAATATCACTAGGAAGTTTTCAAGCCTTTGTTCCCTAGTACTTAATTAAATATGTCGTTTACTTAATAAAATCAAGTGATCCTTATTCGCTTTTGTACGAATTTTCTCTTTTCAAATCAATTGAAGCAATCATTGTCTAAAACGTCCGACGAATTTTATCACATTCGTTTTTGTACAAGAATTAATAAACATTCTGAAACTGTCTTATTCGTCCGCTATAGCAGATCATCCGCACTCCATCGCATTTTTTTACTTTTCTGAATGGTACAAAAAAGGACTGATTAAATTAATAAGAAAAGGTCAGATAAAAACCATCACAAGAGAGATAATAGAATAACTGTGATAACAATCAAAAATTTGTCTTAGATTCATTGTTGATATTAGCCAAATCAAGAGAAAGATGGATAATTTTAAACTACTTCATAAACAAATTTAAAAGATAAACAAAGCAGGCGCTAGAAGAAGACTTGTACTATGCTTTGTGTTATGAAATGGATTTTACATATTCGGAATTTTTCAACAATCTGTTCAGACCATCAAAATAAAAGTCATTCTACAATAAATATACGGATAAATAGCAACAGGCTTACTTTGAAAAATGTTCCATCAGATGACGTATCAGATCAAGAAGAAGCGAAGTCATATAATAAACAATAGCACTCTTTAAGAGATAAATGAATGAAATGTAGAGAATGAATGAATTTATATTTTATTCATGAGGACGACATGACTAAGACGATATTTTTCTCCATATAATAGTAAATGAAGACCTATATATGTTATACACAGCCTCTCTTCTATAAGTTCTGGAGATGTGCGATCAACACATAATGTATTCATTTGTTAACTGAAAAACCTTCAGTTCTTCTTCACGTATGTTTTTTGTATTCAACTTGTTTTGATTCAAATGTCTATAAATTAAATTATCAAACTTTTTCATAAAATTCCAAATTAAAAATTAACTCAAACACTTAGTATATATCAGGGCTCGACCAGGCCAGGCTACAAATTTTCGGCCTGCACCAGGCTAAGGCAGACCAGGTCTAAACTGAAATAGATTCAGGCAGACCTTTGAAAACACCAGGTCATGGTTATTAATGAACGCCGTGCATCACTAAATCCTGACACGGACTTTTCTTTTCATCTTATGTTACTATTATTTGTACATTTTTTTATTAAAAAAATGACCAGGCTTCTACAGACCATGCCATGGTAGGCCGAGAACAATGGCAGGCAGACAGGCAAGGCCCAGGAAATATATCGACAGGCCCAGGCAGATCTAAACATTACGGGCCTGACGCAGGCAGACCAGATCTCAAAAGTGTCGGCCTGTTTCGAGCCCTGGTATATACCTTATGAATCGGTTCAAAGCAGAAAATACACTGTGATCAACCAAAAGCTAAAGTAGAAAATAGATAATACTTATACTATTTAGAATTATCTAGCAAATATGCGTTTTTGGTATAAAGTTGTGTTAAAGTGGTTTTGTCAAACAAAAAATTTTTAACCATAAAAAATAATTTTGAAACATTCATATAATACTTATGAAAAGTCATGATAACACGATTATCTCCTGGACTCTAGTACACCACTTATAATTAAAACGTCAAATAGCAGATTAGTTTTGAGGACGATTTGTGCTGCTCAATTAAAACTTGTCGGAAATATCTCTTGTTGATAATTATTTTTATTGCTTCCATGATGCATTAGAATTCACGTTAATGAATGAATCAAATGATCAAGGTTAATCCGATACAAGTCTTGACTAAAATATATAATACTATTAATGGATAAAGACAAGGAAAAGAGAAAAGAATCACTATAGAAAGTGAAGCTGTAATGTAATTTTGACTATAATGAAGAAGAGCAATTTTATGTTTTATATTTGTACAATTTAATCTTTTCTCCTTTTTCGGAGTTTACATCAATGAAATATTGAAAGAAGAAATGAAACGGAACCTGAATCTTTCACATAGTGTATAGTTCTTTGACACAGTATATGCGAGAGGCGGCTACTTTACCAACAAGAAACAATCGTTTTGCTTATTACACTATTTATATATATATATATACAGTGATGCGTCCTAATTTCGACATTAAATTTTGTATGCTT